ACATATTTATTATGAATGTGAACACGTCAAGGACTTCTGGTCACAGGTTGAAATATTTATCAACAGTAATCTAAATATTGAACTTGAATTAAGAAAACATACTATTATGTTTCGATATTGTACATATGACCATGCAGTTAAACCTATTTTGCTGTCAGCAAAACGATTCATTATTTGCCATGTATGATTCAACAAATACCGTCTAATTCATAAAAAGATTGAGTGATATCTGTCAAATTGAAAAATATATTGCAAACAAAAACAACAGAATGCACTGTTATCAAATGGAAATGGAAGCAACTGATTTTTACTCTCTGTCCATAGTCACCATGCGTTCAAAAAATGGAAATGGAATAAAATCTATTTTGAAACAAAGTTAAGTATCAAGCACATACACATGTGCAATACGTGGAATATGAAGCCCAAACACATATGAAGTATCATACACAGACACACATGCAGTCCGTGAAATATCAAGCACATACACATATCCTGTAAGTGAAGTTTAAAACACATACACACAAGCAGTCAAATGCCCAACACACTGAACTGCATGAGCAGATTTTATTGGCGCCTCTCACGAATATATCTAAGCCGGTACCTTGAAGCTTAAACACGAGCTGCCATACGGTACGGCGACAGGAAGGTGCGGCTTCAGTGCATACAGTGATATTCATTTGGTCACCATCGGTGTCCACACATCTATATATAGTCCTGTTGACAATCTAATACAGAGACACGTGTACTGTTTTGTAGTACAATCTAGAAGGGCTTTATGGAGTCATTGTGTGGGGTAATATATAGAGCTGCTGTACACTGTATTGATGTACGAGTCAGTGAGTGAGTTGGGTTTAACGCCGCTTTTAAAAGTATTCCAGTTATATCACTTTTGATATTTTTATATTTAAGGAAAGCCCGAAGTGATGCAGGTCTCAGACGTTTACCACTTCGGTGAAACCCACGAGCACGGGTATGGTGCTGACAAACCTAAAAATATAATCGGGGCTAACCAGCAATCGACCCCACAATCATAGGTTTCTGGCGTGCCCAAGGTACGCAACTCTGCACAGTGAATCGCGGCCCCTCAGACGACTGTGCCACCCGTACCCCTGTATTGTACAGAGATGCTGACAGATTTCTGTTCTTGTTACTTCGACTATTTGTAAGTAATTTCAATTATTTTCTCGTTACTTCGATTCTTTTCTCGTTCGATTATTATGTCTTTATTTCAAGTGTTTTTCAAAAACTCGAAATTTCGATTGTTCTCTTGCTTCGATTATTTTCTCGTTGTTTCAATAGTTTTCTCGAAATTACGAGTTTTTGCTCGTTAATTCGAACGATTTTCTCGTCATTTCAAATTGTTCTGAGAAATCGAGAAATGTCGGGGGGAAAATCGAGTACCCTTCACTATTTGATAGTAATTCATATACCCATGCTCAAGGTATTGTCGGAATCGTACAGTGGTAGCTGCTATTACTAGAGATATCAAATGATTATGGGAAAAAAAAGCTTTGGTCACTTTATTTAATCATGTGTGAGTTTTAATAACTTGAATATTAGGCGAGGAGGATCCTTTTTGGAAAGTAGAAAACCTTTGACAAAAGTACACACGCGTAGATGTAAGAAATTATGTTAATCTAATCAATCATATTGTAACACATTAAGCATGTAGAAAGATAAATCTCAATCAGACTTTCGAGCTTGAGGTGCATTTATATAGAATAATTACTTAAAAGGTGTGGACATCTTTCAAATGAAATACAGTTTGAATTGAATTTTTGGGAACATTATTTTTATTGATCATATTGTCATTAAAAGAAAAACAAACAACTAATTAACTTGAAATTGATGACAAATGTCCAATAAATGTTCAGTTTAAATATGAATGTGATTTTCATATACAGAAAGAGATATCACTTCAACCTAAAGATATGTTAAAAGTATAATTAACAATTGAGACGGTGATTACTGCAAATAGAAAGACATTGTTGACGTTGTACAATTACTATGACGATAATAATAACTCATTTTTTTTCTTTTGTTCATGTTTTAATGTGAAATCCATCTGATGTAAGACTCCCTGTTTTATGTTCAAAACATGTTTTCATACTTTCGAAATACACTATTTTCTTTTGTGCAAGCAAATATCATGTTTTGGATAATTGATAAATCCTGTTAATATATATTAGATGATGTTGTGTTTACTGTGTGCAATAACTACATAATTATTATGTAATATCTGGCTATTGTTAACAATCTTTTCTAAAACAGTATGTTTTGTAATTCAATAAAATTAAACTTTCGAAATCTTATTTTACTTGCTGAATAAGAAATATTTTGACAGAAGACTAACATATTTATTTATTTAAAATCATAGAAGTAACAATATAATTGAAACATTGGGCGTTGAGTCTATACAATGATTATCTACACAGTCTAAACTTTCCATAGTTTATTTCCCCTTATCCATGGAGAAGAAGTCAAAAGAAATTTTGATGTGCTCCCTGCCACTTTTAACGGACAATGGTCTGAACAGAGCTGAAACAAGTACTCACTCACTCACCCAGCATATATATATACGATTACCTTATTTTTTTCTCCCAATACCGATTGGGATATCTCTCTATATATATTAAAGTTAACATAATGGTATTTACAAATATCAAACTTTCAAAATTATTCCTGTATAAATATATATCTATAGTTTCCAATAATTTTTGAATAAAAGGAGTTGAAACACTTTATGAAAAGTTAATTGAAAATAATATCATATTTGGTCATGAGTATTAAGAAGTCCTATTTGAAATTCATTAGACTAGACACAATTACGGGTATTATTTTCTTTACTCATCTCCAGGAACTTGTCAAATTTACTTTCCATATTCCACATATATTAGTGATTATGTTTAGGAGTTTAGTGTATGAATAGTTTAGTAGTTGGTGGCTTCAGGTACAGTGCCAAGACGGTACAGAAGTATGTCAGAATGAAGGATAAATGTATTCTTGTTACACTCTCAACTGAAGTGTAACAGACCAAAATTGCACCTTGATTTTATTACGGTGTTTCTTCTTGACATATTGAAAGTAAACGAATGATTAATCATTATCAAGCCAATACAAAATTGTGATATATAGTCAACTTGTATTTGGCTTTCAAAGAAAGTGATGTCATAAGTAAACAATACATATTTTAACCTCTTTACAGGGATTTTGATTTACTGATTATTTGATGTCTCTTTTTGTCTCATTCCAGTGACATAATTAAAACCTTTTTTATCTTGGTTTGATTGCTGAATTAACTTGATTCCTTTTCATCAGTTTTTTTATTTATATCTGATTAATTTAATATTTAATTCATTTATATTTTGGAAGAACAGTGTCTTGTGTCAACTGGACTCATGGCAAAACTCGTACACTGAGCGAAAGAGCAAATGCACGGAAGTGCTGAATGTCATGCAGTAGATTTACGATACACATTTGTCTTTAAATACACTATCACTTTGTTTTGTCATAACCTCGGTGGCATACTGTAAGCCATGTGTAACTCGAAATGCACCATTTGATTTACGTCCGGGCTCCTGACAGCAAAATGAAAAGACCAGTGTGTTACAAGCACAATGTCGTTGGACGTCAGCACTAAATATGCAAAATCTTCTATTTTGGACATATAGGATACAATGTTCTAGTCAGTGGCCGACCATTTGATATTATTGGGCGATGGGGAGTGTGTGCTAGGGTCTTATCGAAACAAATCAACTGTCCCCGAAAATTCTTGAACAAAAATAATTATGCTTCCTTTTGTTGGAAGAAACAAAATCTGCCACAGTGTGTCAACATGACTTTAAAAAATATATATATTATTACAAATTTGGTCTCAACATTTCCCTCAATGGTCCCTAACATTTCAATCCATGGAGTTCCTGGTCATAACTTGCTGTTTGCTCCCGATCAACATGCCGAAAGGATTAAAAAGGTCAATATTTGGCATCGAAGAGGCATCGCTCTACAGTCTTATGTTCATTTCACATTCATGCAGAATTGTATCATATATTTTTATACGACTGTTCGTTTTCTGAGTGGTTTATTTCTCTTCTCAACTAAACATTTTGTATCAAAGGTTAAATATGTCATCGATCTGTACACCCATGAGTCATAATTATATTATATATATATATATTATATTTATTAGACTATGAACACCTATGACCTTTTATGTTATGTCAGTGTTTGACGTTTACATTTAATATTTTTAAAACGAAAAAAAATGCTGACAAAAATAATTTGGCTTAACCACAAAAATGTGTAGTTCACTGAAGATGGTGAATGTTGTGTAAGTTGATGGTTTGTGGACAGACAAGACTTTGCCCCTTTAAGGGAGATATCGCTTGGATTAGATCAAACGATATCTACGCTGTAGATATCGCTGCAATGAAATTACATCACAATGCTTTGCAGACCATTGTGACGTCACCGGTTACCATGACGTCACAATCAAATGACATCACTAATGGCGCTGCTACTGAAGCTGTTAGCAGTACTTTTTACACTGAATCTTTATCTCCCTTTAAATCTACGACTCCGTGGTGTAGTGGATAGGGCGTCTGTCCGGACAGCGGAATGTCGGTGGTTCGATCACCGGCCGCGTCATACCAACAAACAATAAAGTATAGTACTTGTTGTTACCCTGGCTGATGCTCGGCATTAAGAGGATGACCTTAGGACAGGTCACTCGGAGTCAGTACACTGTGTCTGAGTGGGATATTCAATTTAAACTGCGGCATGGTATCTGAAGTGGGTTAGCACTATAAATTGGCATGAGTCCGGACTAGTACAAGCAGAGACACACACACGTCGCTATATGAGCGCAATAATCCTGCAAAGTCAAACCTCATTTCACCTCACTTCACTACATTCAAATTGCAGAAAGTCTTGAAGCGCTGACAGACACTTTTAGAGTTGTCTCCCCAATGATTGACCAATTAATAAACGAAACGTCATGCTATCTATTGAGTTCTTTATTACAACTAGAGAGCGTACACACATTCAGTCATCTGGCTTTCATATAACGTCTGTAGCGTGATGTCGACCCATCACTGCTACGTATCACTGTGCTGTCATTGCCGTGGACTTCAAGTCTTCCGGCGGCACTGACCGATTGACCCAAGTGAATGATTAGTGTAAACCGTAGTATCACCAACCTGAAAGAAAAATACATAAACGAAATCAGTACCATTCAAGAAAAGGATTAAAAAGATTGAACAGTGACATAAGACAAAGTGAGTTTGGCTTAACGCCGCTATGTATTTCATGACGGCATGTCTGCTTGGAGGGAACAACTCGAAGTGATGCAGATCTTAGACGTTGACCACGCACGAGTAAGCTTGGATGATTCGAATCCCAGATCATTGGTTTGTGGAACACCTAATGAACGCAGCTCCTTGAGCATATATATTAACATATATATGTATACACCCTTGTTACCTTATTCCAAATCATGGCATATAGTCTTATATAAAGATGACACAAATGGTGTAACATAATTTAGCATTGTAATGGCGTTAGTAGATGGACAGACGGATTCAACATCTATGATGTTATAAGTGGGAAGACTTTTTTATTGGGGGATCTACGTTCATATGTTCTTAAAAACGACAATAAATATGTATCTACACTTGTCAACAAACTGTTCTAACACTGCACCGACCTCTTTGAGCCATGGGTTGCTGTTGGGGGTTTGGCAGCTGTATTCCGAGCGTTCTGAAGAAGGCCGATATGGCGTCGTTCACGAACTGGGTTCTCTGTGGTGCTGGCATTCTTAGAAGTGCTTCGGCGAGATGGGGGGCTATTTCGGGATCCTTTGAAAAAATAAACATAATAAGAAATTCTGTATAAAATAGCAGCCTTGCTGTCTTCTTAGCCGAAGCCTTATAATATATGGTTATTATAACGGACACGGTGGGTTCTTTAACGAGCAGGCGAACATGTGAATAATTGGTCTGCAGGAGCGATGGTGTAGGATATGGTTCCCGTTTTTGGGAACACCTGGAGGTCATCACTGATTTTCAGTGATCCAGTCACATAGAGAATCTCATCCGAGTGTCTTTTGATATCAAATATATCAACACGAGTTGATAAAAGTGGAAAAATTCCGAGGCTTGCCGAGGATATTTGCAAATTTTATCAACGAGTGTTATCTTGGGGTTAGTGTTAACCCGGGGTTATCTTAATGAGGTGAGTGGATGTGTCCTGGGTCCGGACCAACAGTGTTTCATTGTGTATTTACATGATCTCAAAAACCTCAATGAACCACTCACCTGGCTTTGTGGCATGTTAGCCATATTGGCTCTGAGTCCTTGTTTCTGTGATGGTTGCTGTGGGTGTTGCTGTTGGGGAGGCTGAGGCTGAGGCTGGGGATTTGGAGGCTGTGGGTAAGGTGATGGACCTTGGTTCTGAGGCTGGTTGGGGAAATGATTATGTTGAGTTGGCATTTGGGAGATCTGTTGGTTGAATGGCAACTGTGTTGGCTGTGGCTGGGATGGAGGTTGTGGTTGTGGTTGTTGTGATTGATGTTGCTGTGGCTGTTGTGGCTGATGCTGGGGCGGTGTAATCTGGAAGGGATCCTTTCCCCACGGGGCAGCGTTCTGTGTGCTGGGATCGGGGAATGGCATCGGGGCTCTAGCTGGGGGGGAAGCGGGGGATCCCCATCTGTTTCCCCTTGGAGGTTGTGGAGAGGGAGGGACATAGAGATGCCCGCCGTTGGGCCCGTTGCCTTGTGGTCTTCCATTTCCCATACCGCTCGGTTTCTGACCTCCCACGGGATTTTGCAGTAGGTTTACAATACTTCCCATAACATTTTGCATATTGTTCCCAGCTTTGTTAGGATTTCCCATACCGTTGTTAGGATTTCCCATACCGTTGTTAGGATTTCCCATACCGTTGTTAGGATTTCCCATACCACCCATTGGGTTCCCCATGCCATTCATTGGGTTCCCCATGCCATTCATGGGATTTCCCATTCCACCCATCGGATTTCCCATTCCGCCCATCGGGTTGCCCATACCACCCATCGGGTTGCCCATACCGCCCATACCACCCATCGGGTTGCCCATACCGCCCATCGGGTTTCCCATACCACCCATCATGTTTCCTAGAGCAGCCAGAGGATTTGCCATTGGTCCCATAGGATTCACCCCGCCGTTCATCGCTGCAAACATGCCCATCATGCCAATCTTACGAGGTCCCCGAAGAGCTGTAAACAAATAAATATGAGTTAGACAAACGTAGTTGTAACTAGTGAGTGAGTGAGTAGTTTTGTTTCACTCCGCTTGGAATCTTTTTTCAGTTACTTCATTGCGTGGCAGTTTTAACTTGTACCACATGTTCCCGTGTTATTTTTCAGTTGACTTGCCGTTGCATGTGTTTGTGACGAGCACCACCAGTGAGACAGGATACACTCACCTTTTCGCGAACACCTGGTATCATTACTATTTGATAGTGATCCATAAGCACATGCTCATGTTCATGAAAAAGTCGGAATCGTACAATCAACAGATTTATGCAGAGATTTCTATTGCATATGGAAAGGGATTTGGCGCTTTATTCCAACGAGATTCACTTTTGTGAAACACAAACTTTGGTACAATGTTGCTACAAAACGGACCCGGGATTCAAACCCGCGACCACTGCACAGATAATTAGGGCCTTAGACGATTGAGCTAACCTTGCCTATTTGAATATGAATCATTACTGTATTTCTATTTCAGTGAGTGAGTGAGTGAGTATGGTTTTACGCCGCTTTTAGCAATATTCCAGCAATATCACGGCGGGGGACACCAGAAATGAGTTTCACACATTGTACCCATGTCGGGAATCGAACCCGGGTCTTCGGCGTGACGAGCGAACGCTTTAACCACTAGTCTACCCGACCGCCCCTTCTATTTCAGATTATAAAATTAACGAAAGAAAGCACGTCCATACTTACGATCACAAGCAATATTACAGCCGGCACCTGAAAGAAACAATAAATAATCATAATCATAGTCAGAGGAAGCGTATGTAACTCAGACAACTTCAAATGAAGTTAAAGAACACCCGATTAATTCACTTTAATATGATTACTACATATTGCCATGACTTCAATTCAGTGCTATATAAGTTGGTCATCAGAGCCAAGTCCAACAAGACTCCTTTTGCATGTATAGGTGAGTGAGTATATGTTTAATGTGTAGCAGTCAGGTACTGCTATATAATGGCGGCAAACCAGTGGTTATGGTCAACTCCTTAGCGTTATGATCTGGTACAATCAGAGAGTTCGTACACTGGGGCCATCGAGTCTGGTTGTTGAATCATCATGTAATAATGCAAAACGCGAATACCTGGTGTCATCACTATTATTGATTTATAAACAAATGCTAATAATAAAGTCGAAATCGTACAAGGGGCTCTGCTTTTAAATTTCTTAAGGAAACGGTTATATCTCATTGAATTACGTTATATGTATGTTAAATAATACATATTAGTGTGTGTCAACTTACCATCAACGAGATCAGAGAATGCTCCGGCTGTGAAAAAAAATTAAAATGTTAATAATAAAGACTTTTATATATTTTTCTACATATTTCGACACGACACACGTATCATCATCATCATCATCATCATCATCATCATCATCATCATGATCATCTTCATGATGTTATCTGTGGATATCTGGGCAACCACAAGCTAATTTAAAAAGAATGAAGGAGTGAACAAATGAGTGGCATGTCATCATGATTCGAACCCATGATTTGAACCAACGTATGACTTTAAACGGTTGGACATAAAATAAGTATGACATGGCCATGATCAAAAGAACTACAACTGCAGCAAGAACACAATAGACTGAGATGCCGTAGAGTTTACGTACCGACTTCCATTGGACTCCGGTCTGTAAGGAAATGAAGATTTCAGACATTAATAAGAAGTGTAAAACTCTACTTGCATGTATGGATGTGTCAAGTGTGCAACAATCAAACTTCCTACAACATTTCACTTACATATTTCATAGAGATACAGGATATTAGATTTCATCTAGTGTGATCGCCATGCCACTTGAGCTGTACACTTACCAGGAAACTGAGAATTAAAAATGGAGTGCACACTGATCCATTCTTCAGGGAATTTATTCAGATTTATTATGGTCTAAGCGCATTTGCGCAGTTATAAATTGGACAGTGCGCTATATAATTTCATAATTTAATTAATATTTTTTAAGTCGTTTAACACACATTTTCGAGGTTTCTTTCATCTCCTTCATCGTGTGAATGATGGATGCAGAAGCTGGGCATTGTTCCACGAAGCTATCTCAGTATGGGAGTCACGAACACTATGGCGCTTTGTGGAACATGGCCCTGAACTGTATCTAGCTTGTATCACAATGAACTACTGACTTCGAAATACATCGTCAACGATTATAAATTATCATTGTCGTGTGTGTTCTTCATGTCCTGTATGAAGAGTACTTATCTCACATTGCACATGAAGGTCGGACCCATTCTATTCATTCCAACGTTTCCCGCTGACATGTAAGGCAATTTCTGGTGTTTCCGAGTGAGTGAGTGAGTTGGGTTTAACGCCGCTTTTAACATTATTCAAGTTATATCACGGCGTGTCAGCTTAATGTGGGAGGAAAGCCCCAAGTGATGCAGGTCTCAGACGTTTACCACTTCGGTGAAACCCACGAGCACGGGTATGGTGCTGACAAACCTAGAAACATAATCGGGGCGAACCGAGATTCGAACCCACAATCATAGGTTTCTGGCGTGCCGAAGTGACGCAACTCTGCACAGCGAATCGCGGCGCCTTAGACTACTTGGCCACCCGTGCCCCCTTGTGTTTCTGAGCTCGAATTGCTGAGATGCTGGCGATTTGCAATCTCGAAACATTGACGTAAGACGCCCTTCTCCGGGTATTTACGATATTTACGTCTGTTATTTTTCGAAGAATGTAAACAATGAATGAAAGAATGCCTAACTGTGGTATTCTTGTCGATTCGCATGCATAAGATATACCTGCAATATAATTAGGTGTGTGGTCAGATAAACGCCCGGTGCCTTGGGTGTCATGGGTTGAAGTGTAACCCAGTTTTCAGGATTTGGAACAACTTATAATGTACCACTTAAAAGGGTATAGTATAGAATACTGAACAGTGTACATTTGTACATCATAACATAGAAACAACTAAATACATAATCTCACCTGCATAGAAATTAAAGGCACCTGAAACGAAGAAAAAAGAGAATGTATTGCCTGAACAGCTGTCAGATAATATTTGGAATATGACATCAAGAACACTGGGAAGGATTCAATGAATATTCTAATAGATGTGTGAACATAAACGATGGAGCGGTTTATATAATACAAAAACATGCAATTGATATTTTATAATTTATAAACTAAATTATACCCTTTCTTTGACATCAATGGTTCGACACAGATGCTACAAAGGTTCTGACAACTTTAGCACCTTGGAGAGAATGGTTTGATGTTATTAACAAAGATGTAGGTATGAAACCAGTTATGTAAACTGACTATACAAAGGTGATCTATGAGAATACTTACAGGCCCAAGGACCCGACCCGAACATCTGCTTGTATTCCATTGGATTACTTCTATTCCTGAACCCGCTTACGATAGATGCATCTGTAAAATACAAAGGTTTGTTTATTTCAAACTATAACACAGTGTGACATGTAACAATTAAAATAATTATCTTTTATTAGCAATCTAGTTGTCATTAGCACCAACCAGATATGGATCAGTGAGGTGTACGATATTGTTAAACTGCTTCAACACGACATCATGAAGCCTAACAAACAAACATGTACTTCCAACTTGATGACGTCGTTAATTGGACAACGTTATTTTCAAGAGGGAAGTGTTGAGTAAGGTGTTCCCCATATATGTATCAGTGGCCGAACGATTGCTCCCGAAAGTGAAAGAGATAGGACAATCGGTCGTGGGTGAAAAGGTATAGATAATCGACGTGACAATTGTGAGAATATGAGGACAAGACCACCCTGTTCATAAAATGGACATGTCCGACATTACCGGAGCGGATTCTATTAAGTGAGTCATCAATATTTAAATAGGGTAAATATTCATAATTAATTTATAAAGCGTGTTCTTTTTTCTTATATCCTTTAAGAGGCTGTGCGTTATGTTGATATCTCATATAAGAGATAAACGACTCGTGGTCGTTGTTTGTCGTACAATAAAACACCGCAAGGAGTTTTATTGTACGATATACAACTCCCACTCGTCGTTTATTTCTTCAATACAATTCCGTTGCATCTTCAAGGTACATTCGACATCCTGCTATACTCACTGGGGAATCTGTTCTTCACGATCGTGTCCAAAGCATCAGCTGGAACAGGGCAAGAGACAATGAACCATTGGCCAACCACTGATGCCAAGACCCTACTACATAATGGGGTAAACTTGAAACACAATGTGTTTGTCCTAGAAACACTATTAATACGGTTCAGAGAGTTTCATAGATATTCATAAACGTATCTTGAACCAGCACAATACAGAAAAGACTTGGACCTTTGAACTGCCCAAACATTACAAACGTTATCAATACGTTACCAGACCGAAAACAGTTGTCGAACCACTGAGCATTATAGTTCATTACACATCATTGTGATATCAAGTACCTCATAATCGAATAATAATAATTGTTTCATTTATTGGCACCATAAAACAAGGTGTATATTTTCCTTTAGCCGGCATTTATATAGAAGTTATTTTTAAAACAGTTCAACATAAATCTATGGAATATTATACATACATTGAGCTCCCGTTCCCTTCAGTGCTGAAAACACAAACAGAAACATGTTAATGACGTCGTGTTGAATGGAAACACGTTATACCTTGTCTGCATTAAGATTTAAGTTTATTTATTTTTTTATCTATCTATGGACGTGATATATGTTTTAGAGGATTGATAGAACGTGCACATTTATATATTTCCCCTATTTTGATGCGCACAGCGACATTCCGACATCACATTTTGATTTACGTAACAAAATGAGGTTCCTACGTGGTGACGTCATAGTCTAATGTTGTACTTACTCAAGGCAGCGCAGATATCTGAAATGAGAGCATTTGGATGTCAGTATACATCTTGTATATTATCATTTATACTTTAATTATTGTCATCATCATCATCATACAAGCCATGAAATTAGGAACTGGGACGGCATAGGTTTCATTGCATTTATTCGCTACTTTCGGAAGGATTTTAGGGCCATTTTGGGTTTTTTCTTTTGTTTGTTTGTTTTCTTTTTTCTTGAAAGTTCAAGAAACTTATTTTGAAATCTTATGATACTGGGTTGAAATTTCAAGAAACTTAGTTGAAATTTCAAGATAATAAGTTGAAATTTTAAGTTTATATCTTGAAATTTTAACTTATTATCTTGAAATTTTAACTTATTATATTGAAATTTCAGCAAAGCATCTTGAAATGTCAACATAGCATCATGAAATATCAGCTTAGTTTCTTTAAATTTCAACTAAGTATCTTGAAATTTCAATAAATGAATACAAAATCAAATGGCCCTAAAAGGATTCCGTAGGTACGTCTTTATATGATGTTTTTAATGTATCAATGAATATACTTCTACTATGTGTTTTGTTACGACATGAAACACTCACCGTGTAAACTCATGCCCATGAACTGCATGACCATCGCTGTAAACAAGAAGTAACCATGGTTACAATACAGTAGTGAATGCATTGTGTTGTACGCCGCTTCGGACAGTTGCTTGGGGTTTTTTTTAACTCGGTTGCCAAACGTATATTTACTGAACAAACAATGTTAAACTCTTTTCTTTACTTATAAGCCGCAGAATCTATGCACGTGTACACAGCAGATGTAATAAAGATTAACTATTACCATCCGAAAATGATATTGAAAGGTCAGCATGCGGTGGTACCCAGCCACTCACGAAAATTCAAAGGGTGACTGGTCCATGCAATGTTGTAGAGGACTTAGACAATGTTGTAAAAGACTTAGACAATGTTGTAAAGGAGTTAGACAATGTTGTAAAGAAGTTAGACAATGTTGTAAAGGAGTTAGACAATGTTGTAAAAGACTTAGACAATGTTGTAAAGGACTTATACAATGTTGTAGAGGACTTAGACAATGTTGTACAGGACTTAGACAATGTTGTAGAGGACTTAGACAATGTTGTACAGGAGTTAGACAATGTTGTACAGGAGTTAGAAAATGTTGTAGAGGACTTAGACAATGTTGTAAAAGACTTAGACAATGTTGTAGAAGACTTAGACAATGTTGTAAAGGACTTAGAAAATGTTGTAGAGGACTTAGACAATGTTGTAAAAGACTTAGACAATGTTGTAAAAGACTTAGACAATGTTGTAAAAGACTTAGACGATGTTATAGAGGACTCAGACAATGTTGTAAAAGACTTTGACCATGTTGTAAAAGTTTTAGCAACCAAACCTGACCACCTTATCTAGTTAAAGTAAGTGGCAGGTGAGGTGAGCTACCATCCTGTGAAGTTCATATTATGGGATAACATCGCGTTTTATGTTGACAAGCAGGGTGTCATATTAAATCAATTCCTACGAATGTCTACAACACAGTTTCTGGAATCACTTCACCAGGCATTTGATGGTGAAGCCTTGATTGAAGAGTTTATAAAATGATCGGTCCCTTACATGGCATCCTTGGAGCCTGGAGACCTCCCATGGCGCCGGCAGCTGGGGGCGGCGGACCTGCGAACAAACATGTCTATCTTAGTGAAGCTGACTCAGGGTTGTGTTGGACATCAGTAGGGGGGTGGTGAAGTTGAAAACTCGGCAGTGATTGTGCCAAAGCACAGCTGCACACACAAACACACACAAAAACCCGCATGCACACACACATACACACACACACACACACACACACACACACACACACACACACACACACACACACACACACACACACACACACACACACACACACACGCGAAGAATCCCTGAAACGTCATTACAAACAATAAAAGAGTTGTTCTCCAAAATAGTTTCCAAGTCTCCTCAATGCGAATCAAAGACTCGCTGCAGGAGTAGCTACTGCTGCAATTGAGATACTATACTGCCTGGCAAAACAATGTGCGATGGTGGCTAAAAATGAAACAAACAAGAAATGGTTATTTAATAGTGATGTATTTCATACGGGTATCATAATTGAGTTTAGAACGTAACTTTTTCGGCAACTATTTTCAGTCTAGTATAGTTTTGAAAACGTTTTGAATTTTGGGTTAAATCCAAATTGTGAAGGGTTTTCTTTCTCTTGCCCGGCAGTTAAGTACTGAAGCTGTCATTAGCCCCTACTCACCAGCTGTGGGTACAGCTGCCTTGGTGCTGGCGGGTCCTGTGCAGATAGTGGTGTAGATGAGCGTAAGCTTGTAATACCGACATATTCATCTCATATGTTGTCAGCAAGGTATTGACATGCAATGTTACTGGTATGAACCATCATGTAAACAGTCAACAACGTCTATGCCTGTCTGGTAGCTACTTGTATCACCAATTTGATATCCCTCATAATACCAAAATATGTTTGATAAAATACTGAATATACAACTTTGAAGTATTGATTACAACTTTTTTTTATAATTGTTCTCGTGGTTATATGGGTGAAATATTGTTTGTGCGACGCTAAAACAGCTCGAATTAAAACAGCTAAAACAACGAATAGAACCAGTATGTCTTCGGAACACCATTTGAGATACATATACACTCCCGACACCAACAGAAGCTGAGCAGAAGCCATTGGAAGGAATTAGGGGTAATGGCCACAGGCTTGTCATGTAGCTGATGGTTTCTTTTCATATTTTACATGAGAATTCGAATTTTCAAACGTTTCAAGAATTTCTTACGGAGCCTGTAATGATACAACCAAACCTAACTATATCAATAAGTTAGCAAACAGACATATTTTAAGGTACGAAACACTATTCCCCTGTATCTTATTGTTGTGGCTGGGTAGCTTGGTGGCTAAAGCGTTTGCTCGTCACGCCGATGGTCTAGGTCATTCCTGCATAGCTGGACTAATGCTAAAAACGGCGTAAAAAGCAACTCACTTGCTAAAGTCCAGGATAAGTTGAGGGCAAAAAGCTGAGTTAATGTCAAGATGCGCAAGCAACTACATTGCCATAGCAACCAAATTGCCATAGCAACCACAATACAATTTACGCAGATTATCCATCACGCTGTGGAATATATAGATCAAGCATGTTCACCCACACATATGCTTTAAAGCAGTGAATCTCGATAACGTCTTTATAACGCTGGCAGTTAGAGCATGATTTACTGACCTAACGCCACCAGTTTGGCTTTGTCCAGTTACCTAAAAACCTTCAGTTATCTCCCCTTGTCCAGTAAACTAGAGAATTTACAATCAGGTTAGTATCAAGTTTGTCAACCCCAGTGGTAACAAGGAATATGTTATACTGCATATATCTGGTTACAGATAATAAGCAAACAGTTACCATGATTACATTGCCAACAACACACGGTTTACCTTTAGGACGACTAGGCTGGGTCGGTGCTGGAGACGACAGAATGTGAATATCAGATACAGGCGTACTATCATAGATACAGTTTGTTTTCATGAAAAGTTCTTTGCACGATATATTTTTCACGATGCTGTAAATAGATTTACACTGTATATACAGATTCCAGATTAAAATTCCTGATCAAGTCCTTTATATGCCATGTTCGACATTTTGAAGCTCTGTGCTATTTCTTACTACATTTGGGAATAAGAAAGGATTCTTTGGGTAGCTATTTTTTATATCGGACTGTTGCTAATATTCGATTGGTCTGATATCCAAATGTTCGTTATATATGATTATTCGGTAAGCCTGACTGTTCGTCACAGACGATTGTGAGGTATGTCCGATTGTTCGTTATATACGATTGTTCGTTATATACGATTGTTCGTTATATACGATTGTTCGTGATATCAGTTCAATATAACTGACTATGACACGAGAAGGGGATGGTGGCTCGTTGACTTTACGATCACTACGTATTTATTTCCTAAATATAGCGTTGTACGGTGGAAGTAAGATGTATTCATGATACTGATCAACAAACACTTTGTTCCGGGTATTTTTGATTGTTTGTTTGTTGCTTAACGCCACACGCAGCAATACTCTAGCTATATGACGGCGGTCTGTAAATAATCAAGTCTAGACCAGACAATCCAGTGATTAGTATCATGAGCACCGATCCACGCAATTGGGATACAATGACATGCATCAAGCAAGTCAGCGAGCCTGACCATCCCACCCCGTTAGCCGCCTCTTACGACAAGCATGTGTTGCTGGAGACCTATTCTACATCCGTATCTTCACGGGTTGTTCTGTGTATTCAAGTTTTCACTTACATTTTCGCAATAACACTTATGTCACTATTGACGCTATAACGTACCGTGAATTTTCGGTTGTTGATGTTGCTGCTGTTGCTGTTGAGGATGTTGATTTTGTGGTGGCTGAAAGCCTAGTGGTAAGGTAAAATATACTGAACAAAAACGTTAGGGTTTATGATTATTTTGGGGATTTTTAGTGGTTAAGACTGAGCACACAGTTTCATAAAAATATTCCCGTAAATATTAGATCTCTAACTTTTTGTATTCAGTATATGTTGTCAAACTGAGTGACCTAAATCTCAACATTTCATTATGTCGCATCTCTAAAGACCAACAGCAAAACACTATAAAGGTGTGTCTAGCTATATTGTTAGTTCCTTCAAAGTGTCGCTTGAAGAGTTGTCCCCCTTGACTACAAGGATCCGCAGATTGTGTTTTCGCCTGCAATGTTTCACGAAGCACATGATGATTTACAAAGGGACGTAAAAGTAAAATATATTACTCTGAACTAGGAGGTTTCCTTTTTGTACCCATATAGCCAAATACAGGTGAAAAGGTCACATCAGTCCTATAAACTATGATGGTCGTGTGATAAAGCTAGCATCTTGAAGAGGTTGATAGCAAGTTGCACTACGCTCTATACGCTCTATACTCAATAGACAGAGGGTCAGACTTACCCTGTTTAGTGGGTGGTTGTCTTGGTTGCTGTTGCTGTTGAAAACCTACATATACAAATTGCATACAGTAACAATGTATGTTTGCGTCTATTATAATGGTATTGACCATTGCTACTTTATAAAAAAAATATAGAATGCAGAATATTATTGCTATTATTATTGCACAATGGCATTCTGGGGCTATCGAGAAGGTCATAGGGATATTTAAATGATCACCTTCAGAGAGTCGGGTCCTAAACGGGCTATTGGGTCAGAAGCAGTTTATGTGTCCAGTATACTGCAAGACACTCCTATATATGTTTATTGTACATTGCTATAGATACTCATGCAAATGTACAGATGTGTAAACTGGAATGATTGGATACAACAATGTCATTAAGCAAGTACACCAACTTACCGGTAAACCGATTTGGTTGTTGTTGTGGAAAACCTACGTTAAAAAGATGTCATATATTAGACCCACGAGTACACTGTCTCATTGATGTAAAGTAAATAGTCCACACACACACGCGCGCGCGCACGCACGCATGCACGCACACACGCACGCACACACACACATGCATGCATGCACGCACGCACGCACGCACGCACGCACACGCGCACACACACACACGGACCGTGCTCTTCGTGTTCACTGGCTGACACACGGATGTAGAACGCCATCCTCCTACTTTCCTTGAAAAAGCTCGTAATTTTAGGTAACAAATAAAAAGGAGAAGATTTCGTTAACTTAGAAGGTTATGAACGACAACATGCATAGGAAGCTAAACCTATAGTTTCCAAATTAAATATTTTACTTTTAAGAGAATTTAACTTTAAATGAATTCTGTAATTGTAATGAAATATTCTAAAACCAAGCATTGTACATAATGTTGTCAAAAATGTCCTTTGTCTTTAACCATTCTTGTTACACAGGTGGCCAAGTGATCAACGAGGCTGCAAGCAGCGGGGCAGAGTTGCGTACCCTGACCGTGCCATGATCCAATGAATGGATGGGTTGGATTTTCTGTTTGATCCTTGACCGTTCATCAAAGTGATATCCATCTATGACATACATCACTGTGGACTTCCTCGTCAGACTGACAGGCCGTGATATGAATGACATACTGTTCAAAGCAGTGTCAAACCTGGACTCTTTCAGATGTACGAACAGAGGGAGTACAAGCATAATATAAGCATATTTTGAAAGCAGATATACTGGGCCGTGCCGCGAATATGGCTGCAGGGATAGGGCTAAGGGCTACATGTTGTTTAAGGTTATACCACAACCATTGATATGTTCTAAATATGTTTTATAAGCCAGTAAATATGAATATAGTCTATAAATCTAATATATGTTATAATATGCATAATAACACAATATATGTTACAAATAACATTTTTCCTTAGATTTCTATGTCCCTATATTTAGTCCATTTGTCTTACTGGACGAGACAGGCTCCCTGGTCTAGTGGTAGAGCGTCCGCCCGGAGAGCGGAAGGTCCGGGGTTCGATCCCCGGCCGCGTCATACCAAAAGACGTAAAAGATTGTACTTGTTGTTACCCTGTCTGGCGCTCGGCATTAAGGGGTTAAAGCAAGGACTGGTCATTATACTGTGTCTGAGTGGGGTATTCATGTTAAACTGCGGCATGGTATCTCAGTGGGCTAGCACTATAAATCGGCATCAGTCCGGACTAGTACAAGCAGCCTCACAAACAAACACACGTACATGCACGTCGCTATATAAGTGCAATAATCTTTGACGCGACGTTAAACCCCATTTCACCTCACCTCACTACCTCTTACTTGACGCACTTCCTTTGTGCTGAATACCGTCCCTTACTTCTGTCAGGATCTGCTAGAGAAGGATTTGATTCCCAAATTCACCCCGAATATGACCCTTGATTTGTTGGCATACTAGCCAACTTAATGTATTTCTGTCTGTGACCAGCATCACTTCAGTCTTCGCGAACACCTAGTGTCATGGCTAATGTTCAGTGATCTATCTATATAATTTTCACTACTATTTTGTCTCCTACGCCCAATGAAGTTGTTCCGCCGGATAATTGAGACTGGTTATAGTCTGGCGTTGTCGATGTATCTTTCCGCCAACACCAAGCAAATATACAATGATATATCTAACATGCTGTCTAACATACTGTATAAAGCAGCGTTACACCTCGCATATGCCTAGAATATAACCCATTCGAAAGAATGGCACAGTATGCTTTGTTATTTAAGCTAGCTGACTAAAGTTATATTTAACTTACGATGCATATTCCACGGTGCGGGTGGCTGAAATGCTGTTGTATGAAAAGGTGCAGTTCGTGTAACGACATCACACCAAGGACAGGGAAGTCCGTAGCAACGGTGAAACATTGACCTCAAGTCAATAACAACGTTGTAACATTGTGTGCAGAGCTACACTGAAAGTGTGCACTATTAAAGCAATACAAATGGTAGCAATATCTTTTAGCAATTTAAGTGTATGATAATCAACGTATTCCTAAGACTAGGGCGGTGTTCACTTGTACCTTGCCAAAAATTCAGAAACAAGAGTATTGCCACTTAATGAGCATTACAACAAACGCAGTCCTTATGGCGCTTAAAAAAATACAGTGCTTACTCCACTCCTTACGACGGTACGACGACAAATACTGCATGCAACGCACACGACGATGTCATACATTACAACTCTATAATACCATTTGGTTGGTTGGTTGTTTAACGCCGCACTCAGCATTATTCCAGCTATATGACGGCGGTCTGTAAATAATCGAGTCTGGACCAGACAATCCAATGATTAATATCATGAGCATCGATCCATGCAATTGGGATCGATGACATGCATCAACCAAGTCAACGAGCCTGACCACCCAATCCCGTTATTCGCCTTTTACGACAGGCATAGTCACCTCTTACGGCAAGCATGGGTTGCTGAAGACCTATTCTACTCCGGAATCTTCACGGGTCCTATAATACCAAATAGTACAACACTAGCATACAAATAGTACAACCCTGCACTTATTAAGCTTTGAATCAGCACACAGAAAACGACATGACAGTGATTCTTTGTCGTAACAACATTTCCAACTCATTTGGTGATCACAGAAGACGGATGTCATTGTGAATCAAAAACAGATGGACAGAATTTGAAACAACATAGCTTTATATGTAAGTGTCACCAACCTTGATTCGATTTGAAAGCGGCTGCCATTGGATTTCCTGAGAGAAACAGATTATCATACATCACAATGATGTCTGGTGTTCCGGATGCCATGGTAACGAAGTATACTAATTTGGGAGAATCCATTTATACGTATGATCCCTATGAGTAAGTTTCTTTAGAAAGTATGAGTTGTGAGTATATAACTTTTTGTTACTGGGAACTTTAAATGATGCTGCAGAGGCAGTCTGTGTTCCATCTTCGATTACCCAGTGTCTTATATATTATATCATATTACGATGAAGACCTTCGGCGGCGTGGGTGTGAATTCATATGGCTGCTGTAGCAACCGTGTCATACCTGTCTGGTGCTCGCATTAAGGTCATGAGTAAAAGGACTTGGGAAAATGTTTTTAGTACGTGGTCAAATTAAAGTAAAGATATAAAGAAGAAAAGTCTTTAAACAACATATAACCATTTGAATCTGTATTTGTACAAACAGTGTTGTTTTTACTTCAGTATATCTCAATAATGGAAGTAAATGATTGCAAGTGTAGCACACTTTGTAAGCTGACATCCAGTGGGCACCCCAAAAGAAAATAAGCAAGCTTCTAAGACTTTGTTCACCAAGCATCAATACTATGACATGACATCTCCCATGACGACTTAAATAACTTGACGTGACCTCTTGCTGTACAAAGTTAGGCCTTTGTATAACAACGCTTGTAGCCCCTCAAGATGAGGTGGAATCAATATCATCTTTAAAAACGTCAGTGTTAGTAGGCTCTAATATTGTTTATACTCACCAGGGGCAAGAATTCGAAAGTTGTTAGTTCCTATGGAAACACAAAATATATGCACATGATTCGTTGTGAACATTAATGCATTCAATTGTTAAAACATGGTTGAATGGTCGGTGTTATTGTTGTGTTTATGGAAAGGATTATGTCGCCTTTACACGTGTCTAAGACTGGTGTGAACGCTATGTAAATCCGCGTACCCCCCCAAAATAAGTCAGTTCTTATAAATAAAACAACTTGTATATATTTAAATTATATGTCTTTACTTTCACTTTGCTAAATGTCTTATACCAAAATACCTGTTCCCCGAGGGTCGCAAGTACGCGGCCATTCTATACGATGCCAAGCTGGGGAGGAAGCCATTGAAATGATGCACAATACCTACTCGCATATGGCCGAGGAGCAGCTACAAAAGTTTTAGACACTGAATTTCAATTTCTGTAGTTGCAATTGACCGTTTCACCTATTGAATTAAAAGTAAATATTTTTTAGATAAAATCGAATGTGATTTCAAAAGAGTAGATTTGAAAATATCTCTATATTAAGCTGTGTTAACGTATAATCAAGGTGTATATCAACAATTTATTCCCTCGAGATGGAGAAACCTTTAAGAACTATCGTCCTCTTCTGTATCAGTTTTCCAGATGGGTCAAAAAGGCCTAACGATAATAACTTTCAGACAGCTGCGTGACAGACATGTCCGTTTAATTGCCCTGTGTTTGGATGCTGCTGAATATAACCACTGGGATCGTGATGATGGTGAGGTGACATTACTTCCAGGTGACAAATGAGTGGTACACCAAACACGACACCATGTGGATCCATGTGTCACTCTGACGGAAATCACACGTCATTAAGACATATTTTTTTTTATGTGAGGACACACACAATGCGATTAAGAGATGTTTAACTGCAGTCACGTGGAATGTAGGACCCTAGTTTGTCTTTCAAGTGTTTCTTTTGAAAGTGAAATAAAGATGATGTTGAAGTTTTGTTGGAATGTTTAAACAATAATAGGTTTTTATATGCATATCATTGCTTTTCATTACACAATAAGTTCGAATAAGGCTGCCCTAATAACAAACATCATATCAAAAAAGTAAATTAATGAATGCAGTTTAAACAGTGTTTACAGACGGACCTGACTGAATAACCAACACTTCCTTTCAAAAGAAACATTAGCGTTCTATTTTGACAAGGGCGACAACGCCTGTAGACCCCAACGTTAAACGTTTGTGCTATTTAAAAGCAGAAATCGTGTTATGCTGAAAAAATTCTTTCATATATACCATGAACGCTACTGATAGAACGACGATGACGGATAATGTTTTAGATCCCGAGAAATCAAATTCCTTTTATAAGAAACATTAACGTTCTTTTTTGAAAAGGCGATAAATTCTGTAGACACCAAAGTTTTGACACCGTATTATGCCCCAAATTCCTTTTTATTAAAAAACCCAACGTTATTGCCAGAATGAATATGACAGACGGGACAAGTTTTTGGTCTCGGGAAATCATAGGTTCAACCATATATAAATTTGCGCCACACGTTCAAATATAAATATATACAAAATTCAAAATCAAAATATGACGTAGCCAGTGGTCAAGGTGGCCGATGGAGGTGGACTGATTGTTAAACTGTCGCCATGATGCAGCCGAGACAGTACTGAATGTGACGTTACACTACACTAGCTCACAGAAACACTCACTCACTCTCTTGGCAGCGTTTGCTGAGAACACTCCAACAGAGTGAGTATGATTAATACGTTTTCCGTGCGTAACCTTTAAATGTCCATTAGTTTCACGACATGACAAGGGCATCTGGTGCTGTCAGTGATGAATGTCAATAATATTCTTTAACTAGAAAACACGAAGCAGTGACCGTTAAACCTGGGAGTTAATAAACTGTTCCTTGTGTCATGTTTGTTTTAACAACGGAAATGTGAGTGAATGTTGTTTTATGCGGCAGTAAGGAATATTCCACTTATATCAGGTCGGTCTTGCAAACCAGTGTTGAAAAGCATGACTACCGTCGGGGGCGAGACCACACACAATAAGCAAAGGCCACTCATTGCATTCGCCCGATATTCGTCAGTAGGATTTAACGGCAAACGACCTCTGTGGACCGATTTTACAAGAAGCATGGACTTCTGTGGATCTGACCGCCTCCGTGGTCTAGTGGTAGAGACTAGTACAAGCAGACACACACACACACACACACACACACGCACGCACGCACGCACGCACGCACGCACGCACGCACGCACGCACACACACACACACACACACGCACGCACGCACGCACGCACGCACGCACACACACACACACACACACACACACACGTGCATGCACACGATTACGTACCTTGTGAGAGAACATGGCAGAAAAGTCCAGCTGAAACAAAACAACAATAGTAAAGCTTCATGTACAGATATGTAACATCTAACGGTAAATATATATATGTGGACAGTGCTGTCTCCAAATTTCGATATTAATCGAGGCCAATCTGCTTATCCGATATACAGTAGCAAGATCGATGTCCCTACAATTCAGCTGCACATTATGAGTACAGCTATCAGCTATGGCTTGGAATATTTTTAGCACTTTTAATGAACAACTCGTCATGTCCAAATACAAAGTATGATATCGTTGGACACCACAACAACAGAAAACATGTCGAATGTACAGTGAGCCAAGGTACGTTGATGTTCCATTGGTTGATGAATTCCTATTGAATCCAATTTATTTTCTGAAGGTATTTGTTGTCCTTGTTATATTGAAGTTTTTGGATGGCTACGTGCTATAATTGAGTCATGGACATATCGACGAGTAATACTTAGTTTGGTAAAAAATACTCATTCTGAGACAATTATTCTAATGAGCACCTTGGCGAAGACGCCCTTCTTTGGCAAACTTTGGTCACGTTAAAGAATGTTTCACGCCCTGTGCAAACGCTTAAAACAATTACGTTAACGTTCACATATTTTTGTCAATGCTCAAATACAGCTACGTGTTAGGAATTTCAGTTCCTCTAATTGTATTAACTTTAACGCTTTAAACACAGGGCTACTCCACAGTCTCAGTCGTCTGTTGTCAAGAACCTCTACAATCGAACTACGGATAACTCGATATATTTTCAGTCGCCACTAGATCTTAATCTTGTGACAAAACGTTAATACTACAACCGTCCCTGGCGCTCGACATACTAGTAATGACATGTCTGTTAACTTTACGAAGTCCCACGTGCTGTGTGTTTATTCAAGGCATTTAAACAAACCTTTACACAATTGGTCAATCAAGTTTAGTATAAAAATCAGGTCTCTGAAAGGCATTTCGAAGTTTGGAGAAAATGAATACATGAAGCTTTTTATGGCTAGCAACTTCTTTTATTTCTTTGTACGAAAGCATTTACCCGATGGGGGAGCAAGAGGTAGCTCTGAAACGTCGTACAAAGAAAAAAGAAGTTGCTATCCATAAAAGTGTCATGTATTCATGTTCTCCAAAGTAAAGACTGTGGGGGCGTTTGCCTCCTGAGCTATCGCTGTTTCTGGCGAGAAGTCATTTGTAATAAAATCAAGTTCTAACATTGGACAATTGAACCATGGTATGTGGAACTGATTGGCAGTATTCGCGAATTTCTTCTATGTCTATTATTAATTGACCAGTGATAAGTCGAATCGGTTATTCGAATTTCCAGTTATCTCGAACATAGTTTGTAAATGGACACATACAGGCCCAATGCTGTCCTGACACGTCCAACTGAAAATATGTTCAACTGCATTGTAATTTCCTTAAGAATAAATTTCTGTTCATAACCCTCCTACTTAAAAGCAGGTAAAATACAATTAGAATAGATGTAAGGCTGCGTCCGTACATCTACGTCTCAACACATATTTAGGACATGGGGCGTCACCGTCTGCAACCATTTTCTTAAATCTTGACAAGTTGAAGGATCCGTTGGACAGAATACGACTTTTATGTTTTGTGCTGAGCGGTAAAATACCTCCCATGTACATTTGGGTCATTACGTCAACGAGACTAAAAAGGTGATGGATCCTGCATTAAAATAGCCTAGAAGCGGAAACGATGTGCTCATAATTTAAATATGACCTCCTTTCACATGTAATTTATAATATTTTACACAAGAAACACGTATATATATTCATCAGCTCATTCTAAATGGGTATGCCTTGTCTGCTGCGTATGTCTTTCTTATGCGGTTATGTCAAGCAAAGTATCATGGGGAAAATATGCACAAATGTTGTCATACTTTTGTACATACTTTTTTAAATATACTAATGCTATTGCTATTGATACAATATCTACAACGACATGTGAAGCAGACTTTTGTTCACAATTAGCACTCGTTATAAAAAAAATTTATTTTGCATAAACATGGCTTTATGGTCTTATTAGAGAAATCAACATATCACTGTCTTAGTAAGTAATTGAAGTAAATCTGTAATTTAAAAACATTCTGCTTCCATGACCAATATCACTGCATCGTTTCCAAAGTTTGACATTGGTTAATAATAAGTATTACAATTGCGTGGCATAGAGGGATTTCATTTAGAAACAACGATATTAAAGCTGCAATTCCGATAGTCAAGTCCAATGGTTGTCCATACGTTCTGTGCTGTACTTACCTAGAACGGTGAGACTGTACGTTAGGCGAGCCATGTTTACCGTGTCGTCCTCTGTCCGGTGTGGGTTCCTAATGACCGACACTGCGTCTGGAGGGGACTTTGTTGGGTGCTGGAGGTAGCCTGGGGCGTCGTTTCTCTCCCTGTCGTTCTATCAAACGGGAAAATTTATGACTCCGGTGAGGTAAATAGGAGATGAACCCCCATCTATCCTGTACCTGTCGCTCTCCCGTGATATACGGAAACAATCTTCAACCTGTGTTACCTGCTGAGGGGTATTACGTAACGTCAGTACAACACGCGACGTAGTGTTGTGTTCATATGAACAAGTTGTGATTGTCGTTTGTTGTAAGTAAGGAATGACATTGACTGCATTGTTCATGATTTCGTCACATCGTCAGTGTATTTCAGCCTATTAGAGAAACTTACATCACAACATTTGGTTATTAAAGTAAAACAAGCATATCCATTTCTAGGATAGTTACATGTACGTACATATACAAGTCCACTTTTGAAAGGGATGTTGTTTTCTTTCCATAATACACATAACTGTTTTTCATAATATGTCAAGTCTATATTTAAATGGCATGACATACATTATCATCCCCATTAATGTTGAGTAGCATATTTTAACCATGTGCCTCGATGGTTCTCAGTGAAATGAAGGGTTCCATAGCTGATTCAAACGAAAACAATATTTGTTGGCGTACATGGAGCATAACATTATTCATGACTCTGGGATTTTGAAATTTGGATAAAATTATACTGATATTCACGGCTCCCGTTGTACCCCCTTACAACATATGTGCTGGGAGATGATTGTATCTTGTATTGTTTAAATAACTTATTGGTCTATTTATTGGCCAGAGCAACATAATAAACATATTAAACGAAACAACGAAACTACATGAATACGATCGAACATAATACAGATATAAACTGACGATAAAAGAAGGTATACACCCATGTTTGATGGTGACTAAAAATCAAACATACAAGAAATGGTTATTCGGTAGTGATGTATTTGATATGTGAATCATCATTGCGTTTTGGACCGTAAGACTGTTCAGCCAAGTAGCGTTTTGATAACGTTTGTATTTGTTTCCAACTTCAAATTGTATACTGTCTTGTGCCCGCCAGTTTATTAAAGCGACGAGCCAAATTTCTGAACACAAATATGTTATCAATTAAATAAATATACTATCAACTTTACTTGTTAAGTTAACAGCCTGGCATTTGGGTAAATACATAATCGATCTCCCGACTTGTTCAGAATTACCGCTGTATATTTGACTCATTTTTGGTTACGCTGTACTGTTTGTGACTCTCTTTACAGGTTGAGAAATGATGGTGGATAGCAAATGCTATGTTTTACAACGACCACAACGTGCATAAATTAGACTGACCACCTGTGACTAACCCTAGCAGATATAATGCATTACTGGAACGAAGTAAAACAACTACTTTATGACACCCGTCGTGCCACCCCAGGCCGAAAATACTTCCCAAGCTTGGAAGAGTTCGAGCCAGTTGTAAACGCAATAATTTATTCCTACTCGAATTCCACATGACGTCTTTACATTAAGCACTTGACGTCATCGTTGTTTGATGGTGTAACGGATATTGTAAGACGTTTTGGCTTTGTTTTAAGAACTATAAATGACTCGACTCAGCTACGAATACCTACATTAAGACAACCTGTAATTTCATTATTTTATGTGGACGTGGTTGAACCTTGATGTATATTTTATATTTATCAAATATTTTATATTTTTGGTGTGTGTATGTTGTATGTGATGAGGTAAAGAATCGCGATACTGTGATACGATCCGGACGCACAGATAAATGTTAAATTTAAATTCTTCCATATGAGGAATGCATCGAAACACTTAATCATCTGGATATATCACCTTCAACTAAAAATGTAAACATTGTTGTGCCTGAGTATTATCGCCTCCGGTAAAGGTCTTCAAGTCCGGATTAGAGATAATCTCTTAAACCAGTTCAGCCTCACGTCACTGTCGTGTCAAGGGGTAAGATTAAGCGATCAATTCATCACCTAGCCGTGCCATCGTCCTTTACAAACATAAGCCAAACTGGCCTAAAACAATAGCACACCTTGAATGTCAGAATAACCGGGGACATTGGCAGGTACTTGTGCCATACACTTGATGTTTTTTCGTGTGTGTCGTAAATCAACGGGTAAAAGGTACACGCATAATTCATCACCTAGCTAGTGACATCTTAGAGGTTCTGAAGCAGGATCCCACTGTTTGTGGATTGAGTGGACACAATGACCGGTGATTTGCCAGATGTAGTGTGTCATGCTAGCCGGAACATAATCAAATCCTTGCAATTGTTGATCTTCTATTTTCTTATGTAAAATGTTGTTTAATACAATTATCGTTGATGGTGATGTTTACACAATTGTCGTATTGTTGATGATGATATATACACGATTGTCGTACTGTTGATGATGATATATATACACAATTGTCGTATTGCTGCTGATGATATATACACAAGTGTCGTATTGTTGATGATATATATACGATTATCGTATTGTTGATGATATTTATACGATTATCGTATTGTTGATGATGATATATACACGATTGTCGTATTGTTGATGATGATATATACACGACTGTCGCATTGTTGATGATGATATATACACCATTGTCGTATTGTTGATGATATATATACGATTATCGTATTGTTGATGATGATATATACACGATTGTCGTATTGTTGATGATGATATATACACGACTGTCGTATTGTTGATGATGATATATACACGATTGTCGTATTGTTGATGATGATATATACACGATTGTCGTATTGTTGATGATGATATATACACCATTGTCGTATTGTTGATGATGATGCATACACGATTGTCGTATTGTTGGTGATGATGCATACACAGTTGTCGTATTGTTGATGATGATATATACACGAGTGTCGTATTGTTGATGATACATATACGATTGTCGTTTGTTAATGATGATACATACACAATTGCCTTATTGTTAATGATGATATATACACGATTGTCGTATTGTTGATGATGATGCATACACGTTTTTCGTATTTTTGATGATGATATATACACCATTGTCGTATTGTTGATGATGATGCATACACGTTTTTCGTATTTTTGATGATGATATATACACGATTGTCGTATTGTTGATGATGATATATACACGATTGTCGTATTGTTGATGATGATGCATACACGTTTTTCGTATTTTTGATGATGATATATACACGATTGTCGTATTGTTGATGATGATATATACACGATTGTCGTATTGTTGATGATGATGCATACACGTTTTTCGTATTTTTGATGATGATAGATACACGATTGTCGTATTGTTGATGATGATATATACACCATTGTCGTATTGTTGATGATGATGCATACACGTTTTTCGTATTTTTGATGATGATATATACACGATTGTCGTATTGTTGATGATGATATATACACGATTGTCGTATTGTTGATGATGATGCATACACGTTTTTCGTATTTTTGATGATGATATATACACCATTGTCGTATTGTTGATGATGATGCATACACGTTTTTCGTATTTTTGATGATGATAGATACACGATTGTCGTATTGTTGATGATGATGCATACACGATTTTCGTATTTTTGATGATGATAGATACACGATTGTCGTATTGTTGATGATGATATATACACGGTCGTCGTATTGTTGATGATGATATATACACGGTTGTCGTATTGTTGATGATGATGCATACACGATTTTCGTATTTTTGATGATGATAGATACACGATTGTCGTATTGTTGATGATGATATATACACGGTTGTCGTATTTTTGATGATGATAGATACACGATTGTCGTATTGTTGATGATGATGCATACACGATTTTCGTGATGTTCCTGCGTTGTTGGTGATGGCTGTTTCATGCATACGTTTTTCGTGATGTTACTGCGAATCCTTCTTGCTATTAAAATAGTTGAACTGCGATTGTAATGTGACAATTATCATTTCTCATTCATCTTACAAACGCTTGGCAAAAGACACCAATGTCCGCGTGTGGATAAAGCGTTCGCTCGTGACGCCGAACTCCGGGATTGATTCCTCAGATGGGAATGCTGACAGCCGTGATGCTGCTGAATATTGCTAAGAGCGGCATGAAATCATATTGACTCACTTACTCTCGACGCAAAAAACTGCCACATGTTGTGTGTCAACAAGCTAACAAGGATATATGTTACTGTTGTCCAATAGTATCCGGCATTTCTTTGTCGTATAAGAAAGACAATAAAGGGATCACGTAAAATTGATAAACCCTGAGATAATTTTTTGGTGAAGAGTTGTTCCCCTTAGATAGCAGGATTCGCTTGTTGTTTCGAAATCATCATTTGCCTCTCGCTATTATGAACCTAGGTATTGTTAGTACCAAACTGCCTTTGTTACTGTATTTCACCCAACACTGTAGTGAATGAGTGAGTGAGTATGGTTTTACACCACTTTTAGAAACATTCCAGCAATATCACGACGGGGGACATGCGAAAATGTGATTCACACAGTGTTACTTTGTAGAACACTGTAATGGGCGAGGGGATGTGGTTTTACGCCGTTTTGAGTTGTATTCCATCACTATGCTGGAAATTGAATGGTGTAAAGATGAGGTGAAGTGTAGCGATACTACGATGTGGCCCGGACACTGAGATAAATGTTCAATACAAATACTTCAATATGAGGAATGCATCGAAAGACTTAATCATCTGGATATATCACATTCAACTAAAAATGCGAACATTGTTGTGCCTGAATTATCGCCTGAATGGCTAGAACAATGCTGAAAGCGCCATGAAACCGAACTTAATCACTACAGCACCACATAATATACATTGTGACTTCCGAAAGTCAACGCCAGAGGACTGTCAGTCTCGAATATCTGCCGAAACAGATTCCATTGGGCCTAAAAGGCAAAATAGTGAGGTCCATCACACGAATGAATCACTGTAAATCAGAGATGGCACCAGGTATGAAAATTGCTACGCTTACCCACTCAACTGTTGAACTCTACATGAACGCTTTTTTTACAGTTCCTAATACTTATATACTTTAAGACCTTACCATGTGGAATTAACAGAG